AATGNCAAACCGAAAGCGATTTATAAGCTCTACATTGCACTTTTAGCCAAAGTTGTTGAAAACTATCAGTAGACACTGAGGATAATCCATTCAATACAGATGCTTTTAGGCTGGCTTTAACATAGGTACACAACCCACCACCTGATTTAAGAGGCCCACGATCTTGCCTGAAGCCTTGATAGCCAGGGATCTCAATACTTTGATCGGTGACCCAAGTATCAAGCCATGTTTCGGAAATGGTAAAAATGTCAAATCCATTTTGAATAATGGCATCTTCAACAAGTTGAAAATGTTCCCTTGATTTTAAAGATCTAACATTGAGATGAACGATCTTCATGTTGGACTTTAGCTTCTTTGGTATTCCTATTGTTGAGGTGTTTATTACCTTGGCCGGGCCTGGCAAAGGATGGACGTCACCACTTCGAGATATCACAAGAGCACAGGGATTAAAAGAAGCTGTACAGTTAGCAGAATATGCGAGCCGTGATTTGAAGATTTGTTTTTGAAGGCAGGTTCCAATATGGCCGCTCGCACGATTCAGCACTTCCATAAAAGAAGGCTTGTAATCTCGCACGCAATAGGTAGAAATACGGCATAACTCAAAACCAGAGCTTATCTGAACATATCCAAATGGCTGAGGGAAACTCATCCCAAAGCTCAGCGATGGTAAGAGCGATTTGAAGATCTTTCTTTGAAGGCAGGTTCCAATATGGCCGCTCGTATGGCTCGGCATTTCCATGAAAGAAGGCTTGTAATCTCGCACACAATAGCCGGAGATACGGCGTAATCAAAATTAGAACTTATTTGAACGTATCCTAAGGGCTAAGAGAAACTCATCTCAAAGCTTAGCGATGTTAAGAGTAAAAATATTGGAAAAAACTTGGAGCGATTGATTCGATGTCTTATCTCCAGGGCGGTCAGCGAATCAAAAGATATCAATTTTGTTACTGATGGATGAGTGACATTGACTTTTACAAGTAATAAGATAGGTTACTTCTGTCATTGCCAAATGAAGAATGTAATTGTTTCTGAAGGTGTAGTCTGATCGTCCGGGTGAGGGTAATCCTGAGAAGAACTGTTGTCGGTGGTAGTGACTGACGTTTCGACAACCTGTGCGGAAGTCATCATCAGAGTCAAGTGAATGATTGTTGTCAGTAGAATGTTCTTATTCCAGTGAGGTGGATTGTCACTGAAGTCCTGTTCATCACTTTTTACGCCATTCAAAGTTGCCAAGCCTACGAGAATTAATGAACAGCTTGAGCAACAGACCACTGACATAATCAATTCGTGAATGAGATGCACGTTTCTTAAAGACTCTCTATCGACCGGCATACATTGCGCGCATAACCGGAGATTTCGTGGTCTACGAAATCTCCATTTTCGATTTTTTACGTGGAAGACTTTTGTCATCTCCAATCTCTTTCAATCGGAAGCATCCATTGGTATTTGTCGGCATTCGCTAACTTGTATGTGTAGATTGATCGTCTCTCGACATCGAGAAGATATTTGCCGTTAATTTGGTCGTTATCTGCGAATAAACCAGGCGGTAGGGGTAAGAGGTCAGAGGCTCTCAAAAAGATGTATTTGCGGCAATCGGTTCATGAGCAGTGGTGGAGCAAAAAAGATTAATCGGGATATTCAAGACTGACGGATAGCGAGTTTCCGAAGTGTTATTGCAGGAAGTGATGAACGTTCCTCAATCGTATAATTTTTATAGTCAAGCTTATGAAGATCTTAAGTGTAAAAATTTCTAAAATTAGTTTTCTTTTTTAACCAGTATTAAAGCGTGAAGGTAAATTCTTCGATCGCGACCGTAAACTAGCTGTGAAAGCATGTTGAGGCTTTGAAATCATCTAAAAGAAAAAAACTTCCCTTATCGCACTCCCATAATTGTTTACCCGTGGCCCCGGGCCCTCTTGCCCTGATAAAATGATTAGCCTCAACTAAGCTATTCGCCGTGTCCCTAGTTAAGGCCGCCATCTTGAATTGACCTGTCCGTCGGACTCAGAGTTCATCAAAACAGTAACAAACGCGCACAATGTATGCCGGTCGACAGAGAGTCTTTAAATTAGAAAGATCACATAAAGCTATTCATAAGATGAGAT